CCCCCCGGCCCCGCCGCCTCCCCCCGGCCCCGCCGCCAGGCGGAGCCGCCGCCGTCCCGACCCGCCCCGGGCACGGCGAGTGATGCCACCTCCGAGGAAGGAAGAAGGAGCACCCAGAGCTCCCCGGGGACACCGGGATGGATCGATCCGGGGTGGGGGCTGCGGGGAGCCCCCCGGACACCCTTCCCTCCCCTATTCCCGGCTGCTTCATCCCACCGGGGAGCAAACCCACCTCAGTGCCCCTTTTCCCACTCTATTCCCCGTCCTTGGGCTCTGGCAGGAGGAAAAGCCGGGCTTGACGCTCGGAATAAGCCCTATCAAATATCACAACTGTAGTTTGCTCATCCATCCAAGGGGCTGCTGCCCAAAAGTTCCCTCTCCCTTATCCTAATAATGATATCCCTGGAAGTATTCCCATCTCTGGAAGTGTCCAAGGCCAGGCTGGACAGGGCTTGGAGCAGCCTGGGATGGCGGAAGCTGTCCCCGTCCATGGCAGGGGGATGGAGCTTGGAAGAGCTTTAAGGTCCCTTCTGATTCCAGCCATTCTGGGATTCTGTGATTCCGTGATTTTATGATATTAATTAATACCAAAGCTGCTCTCAGAACAGAGTCATGAAAGCGTTCATTGATCACCTAAATCAGGAGGATGGAACAGGCATTGATTTTGTTGCATCATTCCCTCACTCTCTCCAACCCCACTCCCACTCCTGCTCTTCCCTTTGACTGCAGCCTCATTCCAGGCCTTGGGGAGTGAGCAATTAATGGCATCAGCAACGCACCTCCCTTCCAGATGGCCAGCCTGGCTTTAACAGACATTTCTCCCTTGTTTCTTCTCTGCTCGTGAAAAATGAGCGCGGATCCAAACCCCAATCCCAGCTTGCGGGAAATCATTTCATTTCCGAAATATAAAGACAATCTCTGCAGATTAAAATGATGGAACAGCTGTGAAGCGACAGAACAAAGTGACTGAGGGAGGGGGAAATCGGCCCATGTCCTCCCATCCCCCCCCCATCCAAGGTAAAATGATGTCTTAAGAGGAAAATAGATTTTAAAACAACGCGTTTTTCTAGGATAATAATCTGGTCAGCAGCTTGGCAGTGACGGCTGCTCTTCGGGATTGGAACAGGCTCTTGGAGGTGATGACAGGGAATTGGTCCCGGTGAAGGCTCTCCTGGAAGAGCAGAACCCCCTGATTAATGCCAGCACTTCCCTCGATTCCATCCAAACGTGCAAAAGGGACCGGGGAGGTCCCTCGGAGGCTCCTCGGTTTGGCACAACTCCAGCGTCACCCACAGCATCCCCCAGCACGCAGGTGCCCCTGTGCCTGCTGCTCACCCCGAGCTGGCAGCTCAGGAGCCTCAACAGCTTTTTGAAGTGATGATTTTTTGCTTTTCACACCGATTTGCAGCCCCCCCCCCCCCCCGCCCCAAGCTCATTCCCATGGAAAACCCATGGAAAATTAATTCTAACCCACAATGAGCTGCCACAGCCTGCTGAGAAATAGGCTGGGAGCCCTCGGCGCTCCGCAGATGTCCCACTGCCAACAGCGTGGTGGAGTGTTCTGGCTGTCAGAGTGGCTGAAAAGACGTGCAGGGAGAAGAACCAGCACCTCTGGTTGTGCCCCTGGCTGCTGGCCCGAGCCTCGGGTGGGATCAGAGCAGATTTCGGATGCGGCCGGTCCTGGGAGCTTCGCTCACTCCGGATTTCGCTGCGAGCATCCATTAACAATAAGAGACTGGAAGTCAGGACCGATTTTTTCCAGCTGGGTTAGATGGGTCAGCTCCCACGGAGCCTCCCTGTCTGAGGAACTGAGAGCAAACAGCTCCTGACGAGCAGAAACGCTCGGCCAAGAGAACTAGGTGCAAACAGCGCCTCGGATCCCGTCCCCCGGGCAGGGATGCTCGCTCACCAGCTCGGGCTCTGCAGCCTCTTGCAGCCCGGAGTTTTTGGGAATGGGGTAAAAGGCAAAGGAAAGGACCTCCAGAGAGGTTTTGCTGCTCTCCCGTCCCCTCGGCTCTTCCTGGAGGGGCAGGTGTCCCACCTGCAGGCAGACCTGGGGGGACAATCAGAGGGTGCAGCGAGCTGCGAAATGAAGCTTCGAGGTGGTTGATTTCCCCATTTGCTTTTCCTTGGGCAGCTGAACCGCTCCTCATCCCTGAAATACATTCAAGTGAGGATGAGTCATCCTTCCTGCCAGGACTCTAACCTGCCGTAATGAGATGTAAATCCTTGCATGACCTATTATATTAGCTTATGCTATATCACACATCTCCACGGATTAGACAGCAGCGAGATGAGACGTCCCCCCGTCGCAGCTTCAGACAAGACGGTGGAAGTTAAGAGGATCCTCTCTCAGCGCTGACACCTGATTTAAATTGGAAGCAAGCAGCTCCCTCTGCCATGCTGAGAGGGATCATTCCCGCTCCTCTTTCCAGGTAACTGCCTCCAAAGGCAGTTACCACAACCCGAGGATGCTCCCGAGATCCCCGAATGGCCCCGGAACCGCCGGTTCCTGGAGCAGAGGAGAGGGGGAGGCTCGGTGACCTCGAGCTGCAGGGCCATGCCGATAAGGCCATCAGATCCTTGTCAGCCTGAAATCCAGGGAACGTGAACGTTTAAGCCTTTGAAGACCTCGGGAGAATCCTGGAAAGTCGCGACGGGAGGGAAATGAGAGGGCGTTTCCAAACCCCGCAGCTGCCGGGGGAAGTCACTCCGGCACTTGGCAGCTGATTGTCACTTGCGGTGATGGGGACAGGCACCGCCACCTCGGGAGCCTCCGCGCTGGGCTCTGACCCCGGGCAGAGTCACCTTCCCTCCTCCCGCCGGCCCATGGGGTGCTGCGGAGGGATGGGGACAGGGATACCCTGCTGCGCCCCTCGGGAGCGGGGATGAGGCACGGTAACATCTATCCAGAGAGTCTCGCTGCTGTTAGGGACCACCCAGCTCCCGGGAGGCTGAGGGAAAACGTCCTGAAGGTCTTGAGGAAAACATCCCTTCAGTGGGATCCCTACTGGGAGATCCTTCACAGGGACAGCTAACAGAAGAAATGAAGAAACTTTAGTATAAATCACCAAATGAAATTCTTCCTGGCGTTTATTCGAACAGAACTTCATAAAGCTGAGGAAGACGGACCGCAGCGCGGCTTGTGATGGAAATGAAACCAAAGATGCCTTTCCCTGACTTACGGAGGCATTCCCATGGAAAACCTCCCCAATCCTACAGAACCAAACCTTTGAGTTCCCAAAAGCTGGCACCATCTCCACAGGATGAAAAAATTCCAGTGCATCCCTCCTCATCTGGAGGTGTCCTGGCAGAGTCCCTGGGAGCCCCTGAGTGGTGCTGGGAATGGGAAGCCAGGAGTGGGGATGCTGCTGGGGTGTCCCCTCAATTTGCTTGGAATTCCCTGCTCTCATCTTTGTGTCACTGAGCACGGGGCTGGCCAGACTCACCACTGCTGGGATTTGGGAGGTTTGGGGTGGGAATGGGCCTGAGGTGCAGAACATCCATCCCAAGGGGTGTGGGGACTTTGGGGTGGGAACGGTCACACAGGACACAAAGCCCCTGTCCCAAGGAATGGAGGTTTGGGGTGGGAATGGTCCTGCCGTGCAGAACATCTATCCTGAGGGGTGGGAGGATTTGGGGTGGGAATGGTCCCGTGGTGCAGAACATCCATCCCAAGGGATGGGGGGATTTGGGGGGGGAATGGTCCTGCCGTGCAGAACATCTATCCTGAGGGGTGGGAGGAGTTGGGGTGGGAATGGTCCCGTGGTGCAGAACATCCATCCCAAGGGATGGGGGGATTTGGGGTGGGGACGGTCACACAGGACACAAAGCCCCTGTCCCAAGGGATGGAGGTTTGGGCTGGGAATGCTCCTGTCACACGGGACTCACAGCCCCTATCCCAGAGACCAGAGAGGTTTTGGGGTGCCGCACAAGAGGAGGGGATGCAGCTCACCGCAGAGAAGCAGGCGGCTGCAATTCCTGCTGGGAGGAGGGGTGCTGTGCGAGGTGAGGAAGAGGAGGGAGGTGCTGGGGGAGGCTCGCACGGTCTGCAGCCGAGCCGTGACACAAATGCAGCGGGACAGACATACAGAGCATGTAAACAGGCACATGGGGAGAGCATGTGCTGCTCCGTGCCGCTGGTGGAGAGCGAGCCCCGAGCAAAGGCACACGCCGGCCCCGACACACACACACACACACACACACACGGCCACACACACGCAGCGTTCCCACGGGGGATCTTCCCAGCTGTCTTCATTTCCTGGAGTGCTCAGAAGGAAAAAAAAAACCAAAAAACCAAAAACAAACAAAAAACCCCAAAAACCAAAAAAAAAAAGGAAAAAACCAACCAAAAAAAACCCCAAAAAACCAAAAACAAACAAAAAAACCCAAAAGCAAAAAAAAAAAGGAAAAAAACCAACCAAAAAAAACCCCAAGAACCCTAACCCCCCCCCATAAAAACCAAAAAAACCCAAAACAAACCAAACAAACAAAACCCCATAAAATAAATTAAAAAAAATTTACAAAAAAAGCACAAAAAAAGGGGGAGAGAGAGCGAGAGGTGAACGCCACGGAACGGTGATGGGAATGGCTTTGTACATCACGCTAAAAATAGTCCTTGTGATAAAGTCGATCGTGGAGGGGGGAGGAGGTGCCGGCAGCGCGCAGATGCCGGCGAGGGATGCCAGGGGTTCTGCTCCGAGGATGGAGCAGAAGGGCCGTAATTAGAGCTGGTAATTAGCTGCAAGCAGCACAGAGAGAACTGAGCCGCCCGTGGGGGGCTCAGTGCACCCTCTCCCCTCGGGACGGAGGCTTCTTCAAGCCGGGAAATGAGAAGCGAGTGGCTGCCGCAGCTGGAATTGGGGTCCTTGGAAGGGAGACGGGGATTTTGGGGTGTTTAGGGCGAGGAAGGCTCACTGCAGCCCCGCGGGTAACGGGGAGAAGGCAGGCAGGCTGTGGGGACACGGGGAAGAGCCAGAGCTTGTGGAAGGAGCCCTGCTGGGGAGGAAAGAGGATCTGCGGGGAGCGGGGGAAGCCAGGGCCGGTGCTGGAATGGATGATTTGGCTCAGTGTGAGGTGCAGGGATGGAAAAGCAAAGGATGGAGATGGAGATGGTCCTTTCACCCCCGGCAGGTTCCACACACCAAATCCCAGCTCTCCACAGCCCTGTCCTGATCCAGCTGGGATCCCGCTGAGCGGGCCGGAACCAAAAGCTGGGTTTTGCAGAGCTTTCTTAGACTCCGTGTCCCTGTTCCCTGCGGGAGCGCCGGGGAGAGGTCCCGGTGTGCCACGGCAATAACGCCCTGCACTGAGGATGATTCACGCCGGGAATTTGAGGCAGGATGGGAGCTGACACAACTCGGCCCAGTGCCCATCTCATCGCCCGAGGGAGGAGGAGGAGGAGGAGGAGGAGGAGGAGGAAGGGTACATGATGCGAGCCAGCACTTGGGAGCCCCGGGGTGTCACTCAGCCTTGTCCCCTCTGCCCACGCTGCTGCCCATGGAGACAGCCCCGACATCCCTCGGGACAAATCACTTGGAGGGATCCAGGATGAGCGAGAGAGCCCCAAGGCAGGAGCAACGCTCTCCGTGTGGGGAAACTGAGGCACGGTGGTGGCAGGGTTAAATTCCCTGGTTTGCAGTGGAGAATGTGATTTCTTCCAGCAGTTCTCTCAGCATCCTTCAACTACATCCTGGAGGATGCTGAGGCACCAAACAGCACCCCTGAGACCAGGCACAGTCTTAAAAATGGGAAGTGTGGCGCCATTTGGAGGAAAATAAAAAAAAAATCGAAATAATCTAGGATCTAAATAATTTTTGAGGTGAGTTTCCCCCGTCTTTTGATGTCTGCCAGGTGTCTGTCCCCAGCAGCAACCCAGGGCACACAGTGGGGGACAGGAGCAGACCTCTCCCTGCTGTCTCCCATCACGTGAAGGTTCTGGGCATTTCTCACCATTCCCAAAGCCGTTTCTTGCAGGCTTTGCCTGTAAATGACTTTAATCTTCATAAGCCCCAAAAAGTAAAGCTGCTTATCTGGCTGGGCCCTGCTGGAGCGCTGGGAGGAACCGGGGGGGGGACGTGGACAACAGGAGGGGGGTCAGTCCAGGGGAGAGGAAACCCTATGGAGCTACATCACATCATCCCCATCCTCATCCTCATCCTCATCCTCATCCTCATCCCCATCCTCATCCTCATCCTCATCCCCATCCTCATCCTCATTCTCATCTTCATCCTCATCCCCATCCTCATCCCCATCCTCATCCTCATCCTCATCCTCATCCCCATCCTCAGCCCTGCAGACACCCTGAGGTCCCAAGGAACGGGGCAGCAGCACATCTCCCCTCTGCAGGCTCCATCCCACACATCCCTGAGCTCTGCCCGTGTCCCACCGCTCCTTTTTTCCCCTTTAACGGCTCCTCCAAGCGGAATCTCAGTGCCAATCCCGGTCCAAAGCCAGCAGAGAGCTCCGGCCCGAGGTTTGCCAAGCAGGCAGCCAGCAGAGCCGGCGTGGTTTAACGCTGAATAATTCCCTGCAGATGAGGGGAACTATTCTAAAGCTGCCAGACGCCACCTCCACCCTGCTCCCTCCAGGGATTCCACGGGGACAGCTTTGGACTCAGGGGGTCTGGGACACGGAAGGGAAGGCAGTGAGGTTCAGGAATCAACCCCAAACTGTATCCCCTGCCCGCTCAGAGCAAAGCAAAGCCCGGACTGAAGGGGAGCTTTGGCACCCCTTGGCAGCTTCACCCCTGTCACAGCCGTGTTCTCACAGGATGGAGCCTCATCCCCACCTGTTTGGGGAGGACATGGGGGGTCCATCCTCCCTTTTTCCCTGCCGGGGGACCCCCGGACCCACTGACAACAGAGGGGGGCGGAGGCAGGGTGTGCCGCGTCCGTATGGAATGGTTTTCTTTTATTACAGTTTTTAATCTCACAGTCGGTAGCATTACATGAGAATAAAGCACTGGACAGGACTGGAAAAAAAGGCCTCTGGAGACAGCATGCAAACATTGCAACGAGTTTAAAGCAAAACAACCCAAAAAATAAAAAGCGTCTGGCGGGGACGCGGCGCGCTCTCCCGACCGGGCGGCGAGTCCAGCGTCTCCCCGTCAACCATCACTTCTGTCGCTGGGGGTTTCCTTTTCATGTGTCCGTTTCATTGGTTTATTTATTATTATTCTCCTTTTAACAACCTTCTTTTCTCTTTCTTTTTTTTTTTTTTTTTTTTTTTTTTTTTTTTTTCTTCTTTTAATTACATTAAAAAATAAGATTCGTACTTTAGTAAAATGCCCGGCGCTCAGCTGGGCCCTGCTTGAAATAATAAAAAAACAACGACAAAAAAAAAAAACAAAAACAAAAAACCAACCCAAAACAATAAATGCCCCCCAAAACTGAGAAAACGACAAAAAAAAACCACCCACAAAAATAATAATAATAAAAAAAAAAAAAAGCGTGGGACACCAAAACGAAAAATAACAAACCCAAACCTAGAAAATAAAAATAAAAACTGACAGATTTGGAAGTTTGGAAGCAACCGGGGGAATTGGGGCAGGGGAGGGGGACACCCAGACCCCCGGGGCTCCCTCCTGGTGCCGTGGTGGGGCAGGGGGGCTGCCCACACCCTGGTCCCCCCCAGCGTGGGTCCCCTGCGGCTGTGGGGTGGCAGAGCCCCCCCCTCACAGGTAGAGCTCCTTCTCTTTGATATGCACTAGCTGTTCGCGGAGCTGGTGGAAGGACGGCCGGTGGCCGGGGTCCAGGGTCCAGCACTTCTTCATCACCTCGTAGACGACGGCCGGACAACCGTCTGGAGCATCCATCTTATAGCCCTTCTCCACACGGGGCACCACGTCCTTCAGGGGCTGGGGGGAATCCGGGGTGTCAGGGAGGGGCTCTTCCCAAAGCAGAGCTCAGCTCCCCCCCACCCCTGAAATCCAGCCCCGAGGGGGGGCTCATCACTCACAATTCTCGGATAAGGCACTCGCCCGAAGGAGTAGATTTCCCAGAGGAGGATCCCGAAGCTCCACACGTCCGACTTGGTGGAGAATTTCTGCAGGGAGGAATGGAGGGGAGAGAAGCCCTGTGAGCAGGGATGGGGGGTAAGGGATATTCCCCACCCTCAGGGCAGCTGGTTTTGGGCTCCCACGGTGGGACGCAGCACTCAAGCACCATCTTTAGAGCAGCCTGGGATGTTCCCCCTTCCTGCAGCTTCCACCGTATCCCCCTGGGCTCACCCACCTTTTCTCTAAGTGCTTCTGGTGCTGTCCACTTGACGGGCAGCTTGCCCGTGTCCTGTGTGGAAGAGGCTTCCTTGGTGAGCCCGAAATCGCTGACCTTGGCGATGTTGTCCTCCGAGACCAGCACGTTCCTCGCTGCCAGGTCCCGGTGCACGAAGTTGTTGGCTTCCAGGTACTCCATGGCTTCACAGACATCTCTGGGAGGGGTGGACAGCACAAGGGGGGTCGGCAGGGCGGTCCCAGAGCGCGGGTGGGGCAGGTCAGGGTGGGGGGCGCAGTACTTACAGGGAGAACTTGAGCAGACAGTCTGCCCCGAGCACCGACCGCCCGCGTGACCGCAGGTAATCTACTAGGCTGCCCTGCACGAGGGATGGAGAGATGTGGGCTCAGCAGGGGCTGCAGCCCACCTGCTGCCCCCTCCCTGGTGGGGCAGGATCTGGGGATGATGTCCTTTTAAGATGGGGCAGAACCAGGGGAGATGTCCCTCCCTCATGGGACAGGATCTGGGGATGATGGCCCTCCCTGGTGGGGCAGGATTTGGGGATGATGGCCCTCCCTGGTGGGGCAGGATTTGGGGATGATGGCCCTCCCTGGTGGGGCAGGATTTGGGGATGATGGCCCTCCCTGGTGGGGAAGGATCTGGGGATGATGTCCCTTTAAAAAGGGGCAGGATCTGGGGATGACGTCCCTTTAAGATGGGGCAGGATCTGGGAATGATGTCCCTTGTGGGGCAGGACCCATGGATGATGTCCCTTCCCTTGTGGGGCAGGACCTGTGGACGATGTCCCTGTAAATTGGGGCAGGACCCACGGATGATGTCCCCTACCTTATGGGGCAGGATCCAGGGACAATGCCCGTTTATGATGGGGCAGGAGCAGGGGAGATGTCCCTTCGAACGAGGGGACACGAGGATAACGTCCCCCCTGCGGTGATGGGGCAGAGCTGGGGATGCCAACCCCCCCTGGGAGCCAGGGATGGGACATGGGACACCCCCAGGCAGCCCTGCAGCCCCAGCCAGGATGACCCAGCCGTGCCAGGGTGAAGCCCCAGGAGCGTGGGGGGCACGAGGGGACAGAGCAGGGGGTGGGTGGCCGGGGTGGGGGTCTCACCTTGGCCATGTACTCGGTGACGATGTACAGACCACTCTTCTCCTCCACAATCACCCCCAGGAGCTGCACCAGGTTGCTGTGTCGGAGCTGCCTGCGCGGCACACGAGGGCTCGGGCCAAGGGTTTGGGGACACAAGGGGCTCCCAGGGGGCATCAGGGACCACCCACCCCTGCTCACAGGGACAAAGATGCCCCCTCCCTCCCGCTGTCCCCCCGCTGAGGGTGACACTCACGTCATGACGGACGCCTCTGCCAGGAAGGCCTGCGCTGTGGCGTCGTTTTTAATGCACTTCACGGCGACTTTGTTCCCCCGGTAATCCCCCAGCATCACGTCTGCGGGCCAGGAGAGACGGGCACAGGAGGCACTGGGAAGCATCCCAGCCTCCTGGGGCCCCACCAGCACCCCGGACCCTCCTACAGAGGAGCCCCCCACCACATCCAGGGCCACCACGGGCTGGGGACAGCGGGCTCACCTCCGAATTCCCCTTTGCCAATGATCTGTAGCAACTTGAGGTCCTTCATGTTGAGGGCCCAGCCGCCTGAAGGGGGGAGAAGGGGGAGTGAGGGGGTGCTGGGGGGGTCCCCAGGGGCCGGGGAGGGGGGCACGGCCACTCACTGCGGGAGAACTCGTCCTGCGCTGCCACCGTGCCCTCCATCAGCTTGGGCTTGATGAGGCGGGTGCAGAGCCCGTCCGCGTCCGTGGTGTAGTGCTGGGGGGACACGGCGCGGCGTGGGGGACAGCCCGGGGGGCGCGGGGGACAGCCAGGGCTGCGGGTCCCGCGCAGGCCGTGCCGGGCTCTGAGGTCCCAGCAGGTGGCAGCAGCAGGCCACGGACGGGCTCGGTGGCAGCCCAAGGTCCCTCTGTCCCCAGCATCCCCAGCCCAGGGCGTCGGCACAGAAGGAAGAGCACGCACCACCTCCCAAGCTCCAGAGCCCCACAAGCTCCGATGTCCCCGTGTGTCCCCCACGGGGGCTGGACGGAGATGCCAGCTGAGGCCTCACCTCCACCAGCTGCATGAGGTTCTCGAAGTAGACCTCCTCGTCGATGCTGAGCTTGCTGGAGGAGTAGATGATGCGGTAGTGCTCCACCTTGCCCTCACAGCTGACGCACAGTGTGTAGTCCCCGGGGTAGTTGGTGCTCTCCCGCACCAGGAACAGCCCCGTCTCAGGGGGGTACAGCAGCCTCTCCGCCTGCTCCCGTGTGATCTTCCCGTGGAACCACCTGCAGGGCACACGGAGCGTGGGGTGAGGGCTGGCTGCACCCCTGGGCTGTGTTTGGACGTGGAGCAGCTTTTGTCCCTGCCTGCCTGGCCGTGCTCCTCCACGCTGTCCCCACCCACCCCGTGACACAGCTCCTTCCATGGCATCCTGCTGCCCTCCTGGAGCTGGCATTCAGCCCCTCCGCGCGCTCCCAGCGGCTTCCTCCTCCAGACTGGGAGTCGCCGGCAGCTCTGGGATGTGGCAGAAACATCAAACCTCTCCATCTCCCATCGCTCGTGTACTTATCCCATCCCAACCTTCCCTCTTCCTCCCAGCAGCCTTTACAACCCCAGCCCCGGGGGAAAAAAACCAACTTAAAACGCAGCCCAACCATCTGTCACCTCCCGAAACCTCCCACAACACTCAGAGCTCTCCCCAGCGGCAAATCCCAATCCCAAATCCACGCTGCTGCCCCCCCCCCGATCTGGCTGGGAGGAATGTCCATCCCGCTGGGACACGGCTCTGGCCACAGGGATGCTCCAGCCCAAGCCGCCTCCCCCGGGATCCAGCTCGGCTGGATACTCACGGCATGAGGCTGAGCTTGATGCCAGCTTTGACCCCTTCCCGCTTCTGGACGTAGTTAGCGGGAATGATGCCCTCGCGGCCCACCTTGTTCTTCGCCTTGTACCAGTTGGGATCCTGTGGGGACAGCAGGATGTCACCACGAGCCCTGGGGATGGCTGCATCCCACCCGAGCACCCCGCTACCCCCGTGCAGGAAGGATGGGATGAGCAGGGCATCCCATTGCTGGGGCCACCCAACCAAGCCCCCTCCCAGAGCCCCCCCAAACCCACAGCCCCTCTTTTCCTTCCCCGGAGTGGAGCCCGGACCGCTGCCTCTCCCATCCCTCCCAGGAGGCGCCGGCATTTCGGAGAAACCTTAACTAACGAGGCCGTGGCTTAATTAACGGAGCTCGTGGCCCGATTTGCGCCCAGCGGGGCCGGCAGGAGCAGGGGCTGCCTGTGGCAGGACGGTGTCCCTGGGAAAGGGGAGGCTTTACCTTGGTGACAGCGACGATGGTGAGGACGTCTCCTTTGCTGAAGGGCAGGTCCTGCTCGGCGGTACCGTGGAAGTTGTACTTGGCGATACATTCTGTACCGGACGGCCACACGGCCTGGCCAGGAGCAGGGAGTGCCATCAGAGCCTGGCCTGGGTGTGTCACCCACCCCCGGCACCCCTGACCCTCAGGGACCCCCCAACGCAGCTGAGAACCCAAACGGGGTCTATTTAAACCTCTGGAGGGCTCCACCCTGCCCCTCCTCAGCCTCACCTGCATCCCTGACATCTTCTCAGGAGGCTGGGGAGCGACTCTCACAGGGGGGACGGGTCACTCGGTACCATGAGACCTGCACGGGGGGACAGGGCGGCTGAGAGCGGGCACGGAGGGAACCGGCAGCGAGGATCCCCACAGGATGCTCAGGGGCCAGCTGAGCACCTCTTCTCCCGCCAGGAACAGCTCCTGCCCCAGGTGCTGATCCAAAATATCCCCAAACTGAGGTGGAAGTGGGAAGCCTGGGCGCGCTCAGCCCCCTCAGCCAGGGGCGGGACGGGCGCGGAGCCGCTCACCCGGATTAGGAGGCATTTGCACGGACACAGCTTCTTAAGAACGGAGTTTTTGAGCGCAGCATCTGCACCAAGGAAAAATCCAGCGTGGAGCGGACGGGTGGAGATGCCCAGAGAAGGGAAGGGAACGGAGATGACCTCTGGGAGGCCCATCCCACTCCTCTCCCAGGCTACACAGCCAGAGCCCTGCTCTCCCTGGTGACCCACATGTGGAAACATCCAGCCCAGAGAGCTTCCCAGGCCTGGGATCCAAAAGAAATAAACCAAAACTACTCCCCGCTGGCTAAAAACCGCTGGGACTGCGGAATGTGCAGCTCCCAAAGCCCAGGGGGATGCAGTGCCCGGGGGTGCTGTGCTCTGGGATGGGTGTGTGGGAGGGGAACAAACCCGCCTTTATTCCCGCTGCCCCCGGCAAGGGATGAAATCACCGGCCCCGGAATCAAACCAGGCTTTCTTGGGCTGGGGCAGCGGGGTCGTGCCGGGCTGGGGGGCACAGAGCGGGACACAGGCAGAGCAACCCCCAAAAGCCACCCAAATATCTGTGAATTGAGCACATCCACCGGGGTCACCAACGCCAGCCCTGCTGTCAGCAGCCGGGAGTATTTTGGGAAGGAGGAAGTGAAACGGGGGCAAGGCCGAGGACGGGAGGAGGAAGGAGATAAGGGGCAGAGCCGTGGGGAGGAAGAGCACGGTGAGAACACGGCCCTGTTTCCACCACGTGCCTGCAGCGTTCCGGAAAAGTCGTCACGCTGCCACTTTCCTCACCTTCCTCACCTTCCTCCCCTTCCTCACCTTCCTCACCTTCCTCACCTTCCTCACCTTCCTCACCTTCCCCAGGGTGGGGACATGGCACACGGCGCTCTGCTCTCGGCAGCCGAGACATCGAGGCTCCGGTGTTGGCCCCCAGGACGAGGTTTGGGGACCAGAGGGGTTTCCATCACCACAGCTGTGGGTCGGTTTCTCTCCCAGCCAGGCTGGGAAAAGCCCCTGGAGATGGCACCCGCACCCAGCCTGATGGGACAGTGCCAGGAGTGCCAGGATCCAGGGGAGAGCAATGCTGGGCTGGGCAGCTCTAGCTGGGAGTGCAACCCCCCAGAACATTTCCAGCTCCAACAGCCTGCCCTTCCAAGCTGATCTCTGCTTAAATTTTGGATTTACACCTGGCACAGAACAAAAAATTTCAGCCAGAGGTGTCTGGATCCCGCCAGTCTGAAACGCAGCAGCAGAAAAGCAGGGAATAAACTCGGCTCTCTCAGGCCGAGGAGGGATTTAGCTGAAGCATGGAAGGAGGTTTAAGGAGGGAGTTTCCCATGGCTGGGGCTGTCAGCCCTGCTCCCCGGCCAGCGTCCCCTGGGGACACCGAGCTCAGCCTGGTTCCGGGTGTTGCTCAAGGAGAGCTCAGCCCAAAGCCCTGAGTCAGCGCTTCCCACCGGCCGGGCCTTGTTCCCGAATATCCCAAAATCAGCAGGATGGAGGCTGGGAAAACCCTGGAGCCAGTGCAAGGGATGCCCAAAGGTTCATCCCACATTTCCCACCCCGTGCAGGAGCTGAATCCTCCCAATCCCCAAGGCCGTTTGTTTGGGCTTTCAGCTCACGGATGTCACCGGCATTTATATTTGACAAATGCAGCGAGGATACAAAATTCATAGCCTGCCTTCATAAAGAGAATTTTTTCCCTTGCTAAAGAGGAAACTGCCTGAGCAAACCCCACCAAGAACACTCTTCATACAGCCCAGGCTTCTTTATCTTCCTGGATCATGGATATCCACGGCACCGGGCTGTGGCATTGTTGTAATTACACACAATAAATTTCCTTTCAGTTTTAAAGAGGGAGGTGGTTACGGCACCAGGGGCTGCCCCTCAGCCTGACACAGACCCTCCTCCTCTGAGCCTCATTTTCCTTTGGATCGCTACCTAATTTCTGCCTCGAAGCTGAGACTTGAGGAGGAGGAGGAGGAGATAGAAACCACACGGGGCAGCTGCCGAGCAGCCCCCCGAAGGCCTCATGTGACAGCCAGCAGTTCCTGCTGCGCGTCACCCGGGCCAGCCCCGGCCCCGCTTCCGCCAGCCCCGCGCGTCCCCTGGGATGCTGGGCTGGGAGAAGGACCTGGAGATGCCGGAGGAGCGGAACCAGAGCTTAAAAGCAGCATCTCGTGCCTTCTGGGAAAACACGGGCATCGCCCCTTCTCTCCTCAAGGAGGATGTGTGGCAGCACATGAAAGAAATTCATAATAATTAAAAAAAATTAGCCAGGGAGCAGCCTGGCCGATTGGGCAGAGCTGAGTGCTGGGTTTGGCTGTTCCCAGCCTTGCCAGGCCAGGGTTTGTTCCTTGTGTGAGCTCCCCGTGCCTGAATTGGGGCTTGGGATGTGCTCAGGTGAACCCAGCCTCTGTCAAAACCTTCCTGCCTCTTTTCCCCAGTGGAGCATCTATCCGTGCAGGAGCCCCAGGGATGAATCTCACCCCCCAGAGATGGATCTGATCCCCCCAGGGATGGATCTGATCCACCCAGGGATGGATCTCAGCCCCTCAGGGAGGGATCTCACCCCCCAAGGATGGATCTGATCCCCCCAGGGATGGATCTGATCCACCCAGGGATGGATCTCACCCCCCAGGGATGGATCTCACCCCCCCAGGGATGGATCTGAGCCCCCCAGGGATGGATCTGATCCCCCCAGGGATGGATCTGATCCACCCAGGGATGGATCTCAGCCCCTCAGGGAGGGATCTCAGCCCCTCAGGGAGGGATCTCACCCCCCAAGGATGGATCTCACCCCCCCAGGGATGGATCTGATCCCCCCAGGGATGGATCTCATCCCCCCAGGGATGGATCTCATCCCCCAGGGATGGATCTGATCCACCCAGGGATGGATCTCACCCCCCAGGGATGGATCTGAGCCCCCCAGGGATGGATCTGAGCCCCCCAGGGATGGATCTGAGCCCCCCAGGGATGGATCTGATCCCCCCAGGGATGGATCTGATCCACCCAGGGATGGATCTCAGCCCCTCAGGGAGGGATCTCAGCCCCTCAGGGAGGGATCTCACCCCCCAAGGATGGATCTCACCCCCCCAGGGATGGATCTGATCCCCCCAGGGATGGATCTCACCCCCCAGGGATGGATCTCACCCCCCCAGGGATGGATCTGATCCCCCCAGGGATGGATCTCACCCCCCCAGGGATGGATCTGATCCCCCCAGGGATGGATCTCACCCCCCCAGGGATGGATCTGATCCCCCCAGGGATGGATCTCAGCCCCACAGGGATGGATCTGATCCACCCAGGGATGGATCTCAGCCCCTCAGGGAGGGATCTCACCCACCAGGGATGGATCTCAGCCCCCCAGGGACGGATCTCACCCCCCCCAGGGATGGATCTGATCCCCCCAGGGATGGATCTCAGCCCCCCCGGGATGGATCTCAGCCCCCCCAGGGATGGATCTCAGCCCCTCAGGGAGGGATCTCAGCCCCCCAGGTCCATCCCCACACCTCCCCCACAGCCTTGCTCCTGCATTTCCCTGCAGGAAGGCCGGCCCAGCAGCCCAGGTGGGCAGGGCAGGTACAGCCAACACCTCTGATAATCCAAAGGGCATCGGGAAATGAGCTGGGGACAGCGCTCCTCTCGTCAATCAAAACAAAATCAAGTGGTGCCAGACCCACAGGCAGGTTGGGAGGGGAATTTGGGACCCCCAGAGCGAGTCCCACCTGAGGAGCACCATCACCATGGGATGGGGTGGGTGAAAGATGATGCATTTCACCTTCAAACCCAACCATGGGAGGGGGCAGCACCTGCCCAGCACCAGGATGACTCTGTTCAAACCAAGTTTGGTCGTTGATGGCAGAGAAGCCTCATTCCCAAGGGGAACAGGTGTGTGTTCCCATCCCCATCTCCCGATGAAATCCTTCAAACTTCAAAAAAAACAAACAAAAAAATAAACCCAGATCAACCCCAAACCAGACAACATCCTCCCTGCCTCTGAAAGATCTTATCTGCTGTTATTACAACGAACACCTACGATTACTCTAATCGAAAGGAAAGCGCTCCTCCTTCACCTCAGCTCGCAGCGTTTCCGAGCTGCTCCCCCAAACCAGCCCCCGCTGGGTGCCCTGCTGCCAAAAAAGAGGAGAAGGAGGATGGCAGCTTCTTTTCCTGGGGTTTTTAAATTCTTTTTGAAGAGAAAGAGAAGATGTTGCTGGTCAGAGAGCTGGAGGCACCTGGGGGACAGGCCTGGAGAGAAGCTGCTCCCAGCCCCACATTGCAGAGAGGTTTTCCTGGTCCTCCTTTATCCTATAAAAAACTCCCCGGTGGAATGTCACCTGGGGACGGGGACAGGACCGAAAATCTGGAGGGAGGCAGCGGTCAAAGGGCAAAGAGGCAGCCCAAAACTCCCTGGGGTTATCCCATGGCTTCATCCCTCCCAAAACCCCCCACACCCCTCCGGGGAGCTCTCCGGACACTCCCTGCCTTGCCGGGATGCTCCTGCGTGCCTCCCCTGGGAACAAACCCCTATCCCGGGAGGAAGGCTGCCATCCTCCTCCTCCTCCTCCTCCTCCTCTTCCCCAGCCCTCAAACCTCCGATTTGCTTTTCTTTTTTTTTCCCCCCGGACTTTTTGCCCGGCGTTTTTGATTTTTGTCGGGGGTGGGGGGGGACTTTTTTTCTTTCTTTTTTCTTCTTTTTTTTTTTTTCCGCCCGACGGCACAGCCCCTTTCGCTCTCGCTAAACCAACGAGCAACAGCCGCGGCTATAAATAACCCGCCGCCGCCTTATTGCCCAAAAAAAAAAAAAAATAAAGAAAAAAAAAATTAAAAGAAAGAAGAAGAAGAAAAAAAAAAAAAGCCAAAAAAAAGCCCCAAATTTTAAAACATTCAAACCAACAAGGCGCCGCCGCCAACCCCTCGGAACAGCCGGGTCTCCCCGGATCCCTCCCGCTCCCCCGGGCCTTTGTACGGGATGGGGATGCAGCGGCAGGGGAGGCGGAACCCCCGGCGGGGCCGGGGCTCGGCGGGACCCCCGGCACGGTGCAGGGATGCCGCGGGGGTCCCTCCCGGCAGGACGGGCAGCGGGACGAGGGGTCCCGGGGACGGCGGCGGGGCGGGAGCGGCCGTGCCGGGGTCAGCGGGGGTCAGGCGGGGCCGGAGCCCCTCACACCCCCCCCCCCATCCCCCCCTCCACCTCCGCAGCCCCATTGTCCGCGCCCCGCTCGCTGCCCGCCCCGGCCGGTGCCGCCGTCACTCACCTCCCTCCGGGCCGGGGCTCAGCCCGCCGCCGGCTGCTCCATGCGGCGCCGCCGGGGCCTCCGGGCTCGCCTGGGCCGGCGGGGGGGCGCGGGGGGGCGGAAGGGGCGGGGGAAGCCGGAGCCGCCGCCGCCGCCGGAGCGCGGCGGGGCCCAGCGCGGCGCGGGGGAGCGCGGGGGGGCGCGGGGGTCCCGGGGCGGCGGGGCCGGAGGGACGGACCGAGGGAGGGAAGGGAAGGAGGGACCGAGGGAGCGGCGCCCGGAACCGGAGCGCCCCGAGCGCAGCGCGCATGCGCCGCCAGCACCGCGCCGGCAGCGGGGCGGGGGCACCGGCGGCGCCACCTGGCGGTCACCGCCGGCAGTGCCACAAACCGGGAACGGCAGCGGGGACAGAGCGGACAGCGGGGACAGAGGGGACAGCGGGGACAGCGGGGACAGAGGGGACAGAGCGGACAGCGGGGACAGAGGGGACAGAGGGGACAGCGGGGACAGAGGGGACAGAGGGGACAGCGGGGACAGCGGGGACAGCGGGGACAGAGGGGACAGCGCGGACAGGAGGGACAGCGGGGCTTCACCTCCCGCCCCCGGGGACCCTGGGGACAGCGGGGACAGCGGGGACAGC